TGTATGTAATTGACTTTTTTTGAAATGCCAAATGTTGATGAAAGTTTATTTCAAAATTTAAACTGAAAATAGGAAAAAATGTTGCAAAATGTTTTAAGCTATTTCTAGTCTATTGACTGCAGCTACTATGGAAATAAGTGCAGAGTGGATAGCAATCTGGATAGCTAGATAGTTTTTAGAGTCTTTTGAAAAACCAGAAAGATTTTAATGAATGAACTGTACACTTCTAAAAATTGATTTTTTTGCATTAGTGTATGTTTTTATAAATTATACAAATGTGTTATATTTATTTAGTTTTTAAAACCTACATTTTTAACCTTAATTTTTAGAATATCAAACACTTACATGATCTATTTTATTTATGATATTTTCATTATTTTACTTAATTGTAGCAATATCTCTTTTTCACTTGCCTAGAGGTATTTATTTCAAAAGGCACAACCTTGAGAAACATCTGACCTGCTGAGATGGTGCTTCAAGGTTGTAAAACCTTAGCATATTTTTTAAGTGTGAGATGAATGGAAAAGTATTGATGATATTCATACAGGAGCTTCAGAGAACTATATCACATAATACTCAAAAAGTACTATAATTCATAGAGCAATTCCCTAGAATGCATTCATCCACTATGCTCAGATCCTGAAACTGGATTTTTTCAAAATCTTGCAATAACAGAGTTTTTCACTTCTAGGTCACCATTTAAATCCAACCTAGATTGGTAATGACGGAATAGAGTTACCACCTCTCAGCTATATATGGCAGTCCATGCGAAATGAAATGGCGCTTTCATTCCAGTTCCCAGTGAAGAGCTGTCTATGTTACAAGAGTACCAACCTCGTGTATCACTAATTGGCACCTTGTTTGTCTCAGCACAGAGGCCAACGAATGGGAGGGATATCAATACTGAATCTGAGATGGACGTCACCGAACAGGAATGAGGCATGTTGGCAGGCAGATGTGGGGAAGCTTGCCTTGTCACTACTGTGCTGTTTTGGGGGTGGATATATAGAGCACTTCTTTTTCCAAGCACTGCCAGTCGCACACCTTTAATAAGGACTAGTAGGAAAGCTGTTCTTTGGAGTCAAGGAATGTACACATTACAGCAAGCCACTTATTGTAAAGCTTATGTTTCGACAGGACTTTGATGCAGCGGGAGTGCCATAGTACAGTAGCCTCATTACAGGTACAGCAGTTTCCTAGAGGGTAAACAGAGCACTTTTTTTGCAATAATATATTTTTAAATGCTCATTTACAGAACAGTTTACTTTTCATTTTGCTTGTTTTCAGAATGTCTGCTTTACGTGGAAGTTTCTCACTCGTGATCTGTTCTTTCTGCTCCTACCTATTTGTTTTGACCATTCCTGGCCATCAGGTTTAAGCTCCAAAATATTGCCTTTGAGTGTTTATTAAATAATCTTTTGATATCTCCAGTCTTCCAAGAATACTACTAAGGCCTACACACCACCATTTTGTTTTCAGTATGCTTTCTAACACCAAGCAGTACCCTAAACCCCTGCAAGGCTGTACTAGAAAAGCAGAACCCGTAACTGTCTATGGCCTTTCATCCAGTTACATTAAGAGCAAGTAACCTAGAGTCAGATGGTCTATACCCAAACATGATTACAATCTGCCAGGTTTGGGGGCAATATAGGAAGAAGATAAACACAGATTCTTATCCATTACTTGTTTGTTGGATAAGCAACTGTAGATAAATTAAAATAATGAAAAATATAGTCTTTCCAAATATTCTGCAAGTCATGTAGGTTCAGATTAAAATCAAAGCAAACAGCTTTGCCAGTGGCACACTGAAGAGTATTAGATTAGTTGCAACAATGGTTTAATCTCTCTACCAATGATCTTTCCCGATCTTGTTTAAAATAAAAATAATTTTGTGCCAATGTCTAAATTCAAGGGGAAAAACCGTAGATCATTGATTTCTTCACAAGTACATGACAAATCATTCAAGAAATTCTCCCTTTCTTTCAGCTTTAGCTTTGAAGCTCTTCTGTGGTGATCCTATATAACTTTGGCACAGAATCCTAGAAATTTAGGGCTGGAAGGGAGATCATCACTTGAGAGATCATCAAGTCCAGCCCCCTGCACTGAGGTGGGACCAAGTAAACTTAAACCATCTCTGACAGTTGTTTGTCCAACCTGTTCTTAAAAATCTTCAATGATAGGGATGCTACATCCTCCCTTGGAAGCTTATTCCAGAGCTTAACTACCCTTATAGTGAGAGAGTTTTTCTTAATATTTAACCTAAATCTCCTTTGATGCAGATTAAGCCCTTTACTTCTTGGCCTATCTTCAGTGGACACAGAGAACAATTGATCTTCATCCTCTTTGTAACAGCCCTTACTATATTTGAAGACTTATCAGGTCTCCCCTCAGTCTTCTTTTCTCAAGACTAAACATGCCCAATTTGAGAAGTTTTCTCATAGGTCAGGTTTTCTAAACCTTTTATCATTTTTTATTGCTCTCCTCCTGAGACATCTCCAAGTTGTCCACATCTTTCTTGTATTGCAGTGCCTAGAACTGGACAGAGTACCCCAGCTGAGGCCTTACCAGTGCTGAGCAGAATGGGACAATTACTTCCTGTGTCTTACATATGACACTCCTCTTAATACACCCCAGAATGATATCAGCCTTTTTTTCAACTGCATCACATTGTTGACTCATATTCAATTTATGACCCACTATAAGCCCCAAATCTTTTTCGCAGTATGACTGCCTAGCCAGTTATACCCAATTTTGTAGTTGTGCATTTAATTTTTTCCCCCCTAAATTTAGTATTTTGTCCTTGTCTAGCTTTACTAAAATAATGATATAAAATTAAACAAATTACTACATTTACTAAATATTAAAGATGATCTGAGGAGGTAGTGTTTGCATCAGGGTTATGTCTAAGTGCTTTTGCTTCCTCCTGCAGCGTACATGAACTGAGGGAGTATGGAGTCCTTGCGGCCAGATCCCCTTAGTCATACTGAACAATATCTTATGCCCCCGAGTCACCTTACTGAACTCAACCGGACCACTCATGCAGCAAGATGCTATTCAGCACATGTAAGGGTATAAGAACCTGACCCACAGTGATTATATAGGATATGCAGATGAAGTCAGTTATTTTTGTATAATTACTCTGACTAATGTAGACTCATTTTAATAGAACTAAGAGTTAGTTTTTGTAATGTGATTGTTACTTCAGGTATTTAACATATGATATTCAGTGCAGGTTCTTATTTTAATGGATGTCATGTGTAATAGGTTAGCAATTCTTTATGCATGTCAGGGGCCTAGAAACAAGGAGTCATTTTCTCAGCAAGAACGTTCAAAGTAGTATACAGCAAGTAGGATAATTTGGCCCTAGAAGGTCGTAGATTCCAAGGCCAGAAGGGACCATTGTGATCATCTAGTCTGACTTCCCATATAACACAGGCCACAGAACTTCTCCAAAATAATTCCTAGAGCAGATCTTTTAGAAAACATCCAATCTTGATTTTAAAATTGTCAGTCACGGAGGATCCACCATGATCCTTGGTAAATTGTTCCTGTCGTTTATTACTATCATTGTTAAAATGTATGCCTTATTTCCAGTCTGAATTTGTCTAGCTTCAGCTTCCCGCCATTGGATCATGTTATATCCGACTTTGCAAGATTGAAGAGGCCATTATTAAATATTTGTTCTCCATGTAGGCACTTATAGACTGTTATCAAGTCACACCTTAGCCTTCTCTTTGTTAAGATAAATAGATTAAGGTCCTTGAGTCAGTCACTATAAGGCAGGTTTTCTAATCCTTCAGTCATTCTCATGGCTCTTCACAGAACCCTCTCTAATTTATCAAAGTCCCTAACCACTTTGCTTTCTCCTTTTGATATTTACATTTTTAATGCAACAGATAGTCCAGCACGTCCCTTTGGCCCCCTGCTTCCTGCAGCTCCCATTGGCCGGGAACGGCAAACCGCGGCCACTGGGAGTTGCGGGGGGGCTGTGCCTGCAGATGGTCAGAGTCAGCAAAATGTCTCGCGGCCTGCAATCAGATTACCCTGATGGGCCGCATGCGTCCTGCAGGCTGCAAGTTGCCCACCACTGCTCTATACTCTCTGGAGAAGTGCCTCCTTTTTTCTCAGAAGAAGTTTCTGGACTTGGAAGAAAAATTTAAGTACTGAAATAGTGGATGCTGCAGTTTACAACAACTTTAGGGTCCTATCTCACAATAATGATTTTATTGAAGACATCTAGGGTCTGATTGTCCCCTTATTTACCCTATTGTAGCTCCACTGAAGATAATGGAATTATACAAGTGTAGAACTGGTGTATGTAAGAGGTGACTCAAGGTTCTGTAGAACAATCATTTCTGGTGATATGTAAGATTTCTATAAGTCTAAGTATGGTCTCCCTGATTCAGAGCATCGTTCAAGGAATACACTCGGGCAGACGGTAAAGCCTAACTGGGAGCAGACAAAATCTCAGCCTTCCGAAATAAAATCTTTATTTTTAGGTTCAGTCCTCCTATTGAGGTTCTCTCTAAGATGATCTTCCTTAGTAAGTCTCTTTTTAATAAAAAGGATCCTAAATCCTAAAACTTCATGCTCAGGGGAAGAGTGTCTGGGACAGCCTGAGCTGGAGGCAGAGACAGGCGATATTTTAAGATTAGTTGCTTTGGAAGCCAACATGATAGGAAAATTAAGGGTTAATCCCTCATTTTTCAACCAACCCGAAAGAGGTTTGGTCAGCAGAGCTCAAACAGAATAGCGGCAGCTAGGAGTGCAATCTGTAGCCATCATACAGGACACATTAGGGAAACAAAAAGAAAAGGAGTTCATGTGGCACCTTAGAGACCTTAGTCTCTAAGGAGCCACAAGTACTCCTTTTCTTTTTGCGAATACAGACTAACACGGCTGTTACTCTGAAACCTGTCATTAGGGAAACAGTCCATCTTTACTCTGAATAATCTGCTGTTTATCATTGTGTATATGTACTGAGCAATTAATATCCTTACTTGCTGAAGCGCTGGTTCTGTGTGATGTAACACAGATTCCTCCATCTGTCTCTGTTTTCTTCCTTTTGCAGCTTTGCTTGTTCTTTCTGCTGATCCCATTGTTTCCTTGTCCTTTCCTGGATTTCTGATTCAAAGTGAAAAAGCTGTGCCCGAGATGCACTCATTATTCAAGAGGCAAGTGTCTCTTGGACAATTAAATTCATAATTCCTCAATTACAAGCTTTGGTAAACATGCATAAGCAGGCAATTTGCTTTTTTCTGTGACCCACAGCACATCGGTATATTAAACAGATCAAGTAGAAAGGTATTATTTACATGTACGTAAAAATAATATGAGGGCACAAATAATATCTTCATCATCTGAAGCAAGAAAAAAAAATCTTTTGATGATCTGTATACTTTGAAACAGACAGATGAACAGAACTTATTTACGTTCATGCAGACGCAATTCCAACCCCCTGCAAAATATTTTAAATTTAGATTGATGTTGTTTCTGTGCTTTGAATTCTTGGTAAGCCATTTCCCCAGATGTGAGAATCACAGTGGGTTTTTTTAGCATGTTACAATTTTTAAAAATTCCTAATTCCTACTTTTCTTACTATTCCATTAAAAATAATTTAGGTTTTGGATTCTGTTGCTGTGAAGTTAGTTTTGCTTGTTGTAAACCACCAAGCAAGACATTCTTTTTAATATTTATCAATACAGGTGGGAAAATCAAAATATTTTAAAGATAAATAGCTCAGTGTGCATTTGAGCTAACTTCTTTATTTCTTCTTTCTATTTGTCTAATGAATTTAAGGCAACTGAAATCATCTGAAATTCTGTTAAATAGAATCAAATATGAGGGCAGGTCTACACTACTGCTTATGTCGATATAACTTGTGTCGCTTAGGGGTGTGAAAAAGCTACCCCGTAAGTGACGCAAGTTACACCAACCTAAGCACTTGTGTGGACAGCGCTATGTCAGCAGGAGAGCCTCTCGTGGAGGTGGAGTATTTATGCCGACGGGAGAGATCTCTTCACCAATGTGCTACAGCGGTGCAGCTGCTAGTGTAGACTAGCCCTTAGAGTTAGCGCTAGGTGGCAGCTCTCATTTATTGTTTGCTCAGACTTCCTTTTTATGACAGAATATGACAACTACCCGCATGAGAGAGGGAGAGAGAAAAGAATAGCAAAAGATAAGAAAAATCAGCTTCTGCCTCTGATGCCTGCCGATCACATGGCATATGACCCTTAAGTCACTCCTGGATCTCAGCTTTACTCCCCTGACACTAGAAAAGCTTTGGCTGTGTTATTCTTATTTTCCTCTGCTCAGAGTATGGGCAGAAAAGATTTGATTGCAAGATTAAATAAGCTCCAGCTGGTTAAGCTGAATTTTTATTAGACTAAAGGCAAAAAAGACAGAAAGGAGGCAGGAGGAATAAGGGGAAACCATTGCTCAGGATCTAGCCATGGAGATGGTGAGGTTGTCTAAGTTATCTGGTTTGGTGAGAAAATTTTATAGGATTAGGAAAAATAAAGCCCAGCGGTGTAAGTGTAAATCTGTCCATCTTTTGTGGTGATAGTGGCAACCAGAGTATCAATACTGGTTAATGCGATGAAAATGCTGCTGCCCAAAGTTTCCTGCCACTCTTGCACCCATCAATAGGTAAGTGCTCCACAGAAAAAAATGTCCAGGGCATTGACATTGCCTAAAAAGGGCAGGCAACCTTGTGACATCAACAGTGTCCCAATCAAACTTCTCATAATGCATACACAGCCACGTGTTCTCATTTTAAGATTCTGGGTTGTTGCTATAGCAAATTTGTCATCTCCCCAGAAGCCTTGGAAATACCTAATCAACAATTCTTTCAGTCCAAACAAACATTGCCCATCATTTCCTTAACTATCACCTCTCCTCAGTTCTACCTAATCTGTTCATGAATTAAAATTCCCTTAATTCTACCTTCTCCCCCATTTTGGACAATTTAAGACTTTGATACAATGCAGAGATGCACCGGGTCAGATTCTGGTTTCCCTGCCTTTGTGAACTGGTACAGGGTCAGTAAGAATTCTGGATCTTTGGGTGGGGAGGAAAGAGGAAAATCTTCACAGAATCATAGAAGATTAGGGTTGGAAGAAACCTCAGGAGGTCATCTAGTCCAACCCCTGGCTCAAAGCCAGGCAGAGCTTTGTGAAGCCAGGCTTTAAAAACCTCTAAGAATGGAGATTCCACCACCTGCCTAGGTAACCCATTCCAGTGGTTCACCACCCTCCTAGTGAAATAGTGTTTCCTAATATCTAACTGAGACCGCCCCCACTGCAACTTGAGACCATTGCTCCTTGTTCTGTCATCTGCCACCATTGAGAACAACCTAGCTCCATCCTCTTTGGAACCCCCCTTCAGGTAGTTGAAGGCTACTATCAAATCCCCCCCTCACTCTTCTCTTCCACAGACTAAATAAGCATAGTTCCCTCAGCCCCTCCTCATAAGTCATGTGCCACAACCCCCTAATCATTTTCATTGCCCTCTGCTGGACTCTCTCCAATTTATCCACATCCTTTCTGTAGTGGGGGGCCCAAAACTGGATGCAATACTCCAGATGTGGCCTCACCAGTGCCAAATAGAGGGGAATAATCACTTCCCTCTATCTGCTGGCAATGCTCCTACTAATGCAGCCCAATATACCGTTAGACTTCTTGGCAACAAGGGCACATTATTGACTCATATCCAGCTTCTTGTCCACTGTAATCCCCAGGTCTTTTCCTGCAGAACTGTCACTTAGCCAGTCGGTCCCCAGCCTATAGCAATGCATGGGATTCTTCTGTCCTAAGTGCAGGACTCTGCACTTGTCCTTGTTGAACCTCATCAGATTTCTTTTGGCCCAATCCTCCAATTTGTCTATGTCACTCTGGACTCTATCCCTACATGCCAGCTTATCTACCGCTCCCCCCAGCTTAGTGTCTTCCGCGAATTTACTGAGGGTGCAATCCATCCCATCATCCAGATCATTAATGAAGATGTTGAACAAAACCGGCCCCAGGACTGACTCTTGGGGCACTCAGCTTGATACCAGCTGCCAACTAGACATCAAGCCGTTGATCACTACCCGTTGAGCCCGAGAATCTAGCCAGATTTCTATCCACCTTATAGTGCATTCATCCAATCCATACTTCTTTAACTTGCTGGCAAGAATACTGTGGGAGACCATATCAAAAGCTTTGCTAAATCAAGGTATATCACATCCACCGCTTTTCCCCATATCCACAGAGCCAGTTATCTCATCATAGAAGGCAATCAGGTTGCCCTTGGTGAATCCATGTTGACTGTTCCTGATCACCTTCCTCTCCTCCAAATGCTTCAGTCAGTCAGTCAGTCAACATGGATTCACCTTAGTAGCGCCTTCAGTGGAACTAACAGGTCTAGGTTTGTGCTGAAGAGTAGATCCTGTACGTCCAGCTAATATATAAATATATGTTTTATATTATATTATTTATATATATTTATAATATATAAATAGCAGCAGAGGTGGTGAGATATTGCTTAGGTGAGTTGAGTAAAGTGCCCTGCATACCTAAATCCTAGGGTAGAAACCCTCCATAGCTCTCTGCATGCCCAAGCAGGGCTTCCCACTTTTACACTTAGCAGTGTAGTGTCCCCTGCCAGAGCCTTTCCTGGCCACAGTGAAAGACTCTGGCTGTGGGGAAAAAACTCTGGCAGTTCCACCCTGCCAGATCCTTTCCCCCCTGCCTCCCTCCTGCCAGAGTCTTTCACTGCTATGCATAGCTACATACCACAATGAGTATGCCACATGTCGCTACACGTACCCTATATGCTGCCGCAAGTGGAGGCAAGTGTAGATAAATCCACTGGTTCAGGGTTCTCTTGAAAAAGGTTGTTGCCACTCCCCTGTGTGTTCCCCCAGCGTTCTTGGCAACATTTTGCAGAATGCCTTTGGGAAGATGCAGATGCAGTTTCCCCTTCCCTGCCAATGTGGCTGTGGCTTTTAAAGATCATATTTTACCATTAAAATGGCTGATTGTTTAGCTCAAATCCACTTGTTGCTAACACTTTATTTTGTTCATACAGTTAGATTACTATAGTTTTAGTGCTGTCATATCTTTAATTTTGGCCATACCATTTTGCTGCATGTTCTGGCTGAAAGAGGATTCAAATAAACTCATGCACTGCACTGGAAGCTGCTCCAAGATGCACAGTATCATATCCAGAAATAGCAGCCTCCTTTTAGGGCGAAGGAGAAAATGTCTAATAGTACAAGAGATTATCTCATTCCTGCTACCTCCTTTGGACTGTCAAGCACTCTTTCCTCCGGGTCGTGATATTTCCATTCCACTTCACCACCTTCTATCCACCAAAGCAGCCAGACATTGACTTGGGGTCACAAAGTTTATTTCTGTACACTGCTTTGGTGCTCTTTCCTGTCGCCTGAATTAAACTGACTCTGCTCTGTGAGGCAGCGTCAAATCTTCCTTGGACAATGACTTCTTTTGAATAATAGATTATCCAACTGAGATGTACTCGTGATCTATTATTCAAATGACAGCATTAGTCAGAGAAGGAAAAAGACCATGATCAGATTCAATATAATCACAGGATAGCAATCAGCCTCCAGACACGTACTGGTAGCTGCTTTCATGGCACAACACAGGGCTCCAGGTCTGGTGGCAGAATGTCAGATTTGCAAGTCTTAATTAGTACTTAATAAAATGAAAAGGTGTAATTTACATTTCTCTTATACCTCCATTAACAAACTGTATTCTTCTTGCTGCCTTTGCTCCTCTAAGGGTCACAGGCCTTCCTGTTTTTCTTCTGTTCTGAAAAGGAGTTGGGAGAAAAGAAAATACAGCAATAGCTTTAGCTGGGCAAGACGGGTCCATTTGTTGTGAATGGTAGCACTCTTACTGCACCAAGCTAACAAAACCAAGTTGCATGTCTTTTGTACATACATTACTAAGCTACGTAAGCTGGAGAACAACATTTCAATTCAATCTACAGGCTAAGGGCTAGATCTTCAGCTGGCGTTAATTGGTATATCTCCATTGAAATCAGTGGGTCTGTGCTGATTTACACCAGCTGAGAAGCTGGGTCTAGGGATCTACAAATTAATATGATTCTACATTGTCATATCTATCCAGAGAAGTATGGTCCATGCAATAGAGGGGACACAGCATTCAGAAAGTTAGAATAGAAGGTGAGGAGTCAGGGCTCCTAAGATTTATACCTGGGCTGGGCCAATGACCGTCTGCAAGACCTTGAGCAGGTCAGTTACCATATCTATGGCTCAGTCTCCCTCTATTTAAAATGGAGATGATCCTACTCTCTACAGTACCTCACAAGGATGTTATGAGGCTTAAATCATTACTGTTTGTCATTATTTGTTATATTACTGTAGCACCTAAGAGTCCCAGCCACTGACCAGGACCCCATGGTACTTGGCACTGTACAAGCACAGAACAGGTCCCTGCCCCAAAGAACATTAATGCTTTAAAGCACTTTGGAGATCTTCAAGTGCTACAAAAGAGCAAAAAGTCTTGTTGGCATTTGCTACTCAACTTACAATAAATGGAAGAAGAGTCAATGGATGCTTAAAAAATTTAGAGAAAATTAGTGTTGCAGTTAAACTCATCAGACAAACAATGTATGAAAACAGTATCAAGAGCCGAGAGATCAAGTAGTCCTGGCCCCATCGAAGTAAATGGCAAAACTCCTATTGGTGTCAATGGGGCCAGGAGGTTACTCACATAGTTCTTCTGCCATATTGTCTTTTACAGATAGTCCTTCTATTAAAGGTCCTTTTGGACTATGACTCCACTACTTGGAGAGCTAAGAGATTTAGACGGTGCATGTACACCAAAGCTTTACATTTCTAAATATTTTTAGCTTTAACATGGATACGCAAGATTCCTGGATAGGAGATATTTGTTAAGAGGGCCATGGTTTTCACTGACAGAATAGCTCAGAAAAAAACTAGTGGAATGTATCAGATTAAATAAGGGTAGTGCTAAATAGTCTTTTATTTTAACAGGGGCAGGGAAGAAGAGTCTGTCATTGGCCTCCTGAGTACTTCTGAATGAACAAGAGTCAAAATTGCGTATTAAATTGATATATTTTAAAAGGAATAAGTCTCCAGAATTTCCTACCTCATTTACCTTATTCCCGTTAAAGTGTCTCTATTCTTTATTCCTTATCACCTGCCCTGATGCTTGTAAATGGCTTTTTAATGACCAACATTGTTTTCATCCAGGTTTCCCCTTATGGGACAACCCATACCAGTGAAGAAGGAGAGAAAGCTTCATTAAATGCTCAGAATACCTCAGTACTGGATACTTATTTGAGGGTTGTTCCTTTTTATTTCTATTATATGCATATTCTTCGAATATGGATGTGGTCCAATAATGTGTATTATTTGTGCTGTTGTTAGGAATATAACATTCTATTTACAATTAAATTCACTTTGTTCTAATTTTTGCATGAATGTTATGCATTTCTGAAGCTAAAAAATAATTAGATACTGTGAGTGGAGCCATGTGGATACTGAAAGAATTGGCAATGTTCTTTTATGTCTAAATCACTGGTTCTATATCACCCCAGGTGAGTAATTAGTGAAAACTGTTATCTAACACTTATTCAGTTGGGCCTATGTCAGAGGCCTTATTGTTTCAGTCTAGTTTATCATGAATAAGTGTCTACATTGAAAATGGCACTGATTAGCATCTTTTATGGCAGCTCCAGCAGACACCAAGAACTGAGTACTTTGTCTCCAGCTGCAGCTATCCATATGGAGTACAGCAGCCTTTTGAGTCATGGACAATGAGGTGGATCATTATGCTACCATTATTATTTACCGAGATTCTCCATGTCTCCTACTGAAACAACCAGATGTAAAGACTAAGGGCTTGTCTACATAGTGGGGTAATGCACTGTGATTTCTAAAGTGCACCAATATGTTGCGCATTAATTGGTCCATGCAGACCCGACTGATGTACACTAATATTCCCTAGTGCACTTTAATACTAATTTAAAACACACTAGAGACCATTTAATATGCACCAGCAGGGTCTACACAGACCAATTAATGCGCAAACACATGAGTGTGCTTTAGATGTCACAAGCCCTAAGGATAGGATTTTCAAAAGTACTAATGTGATTTAGGAGCACAAATCCCAATGAAAGTCATGCTTGAAAGTTCCACTGGAAACATTCAAGCTTTTGAAAATCCCACCCAAGATAAATAAATGGAAGGCATAAAAAGATTTTTTTCTTTGAATCAAAACACAAACTTTTCTTCAATAGGGACAGTATTATTATTATTTGCTCAAAATCACTTTAGTGAGGCAAAAAGAAAAGGAGTACTTGTGGCACCTTAGAGACCAACAAATTTATTTGAGCATAAGCTTTCGTGAGCTACAGCACACACTTCTCTACATTTCAAACCTTTGCACAGAGTTTTTACATTACAATTTACATTGAAATCATCAGGAGTCAGTGTACCTAAAAGCTCTACAACTGTGATCATTTATAATATTTATTATGTCCAAGTTGATTCCTACCTGCTTCTATAAGCTGTTGTTGGTCTTTCTTCAAGTTCTCCTGGCTTGGTTTGGACCTTCATTAGGGAGAACTAGCTGATTCTCATGGAAGTTTAGCCATTCTGCCTAATCCTATGGAATATGAACAAAACTATTCAGTGCTTAAACATGCCTCATTTTTAGACTCCTTTTCCAGGTGTTTCTAGATCATTGATCACTGCAGTATCTAAATGCTAACCTACTGGACAGAACAGTGTCAGCTTCAGGTAAGGGCCCAAATCCTGCTGAGGAAATTTAACTTTCAGCTCTCTAGCCACGTAGTGAGAGTGCTACTGTTGGAACTATGAGTGAATAAAGTGAAGGAATATATGGTATTGGGAGTATAACTGCTGAATTCAGCGGTAAAATGTAAATCCAGTTTAAATCACAATTTATTCTTATAGTTTCCATAATGTAGTTGCAACTTTCAGAAGACCTAATCCTGTACAGTTCATTGGAATTTTGCCCTTGACTTCAGTGACAGCAGGTCTGGGTCTCTAGTTAGCAAACTGGCACCTGCTGGGGTCTCCAGAGCTTCTGAATATTGAACTTTAATGCGGGGGGAGGGGGGGGGGAGAAGGGAGGGGTTATTCAATGGACAACAAAATGAATCATTTATAAAGTGAATCTGGTGTGTCAAGTTAAGCTGTATCAATTGCAGCTCAGTTTACTTCTGTGACCATTGTCTACAGTAATGAAATCTATCCTCATTTTCTGATTGCTCTCATATCCTGCACTGTGACTCCTGTATTCCCTCAGTAGGCTTGAAGTTATTTACACTAGTATCTTCAGTCAGCTACATCGTGTCTTGGTCCTAAGTAATATAAAAAAGGAAACAATTACTAAACATGCACATATTTTCAATTACCATTCCATTTAGAATACAGGCATCTAAATGACAGTGGCTGAGTTTTTATTCGTGACACATTTCCTTTTGATGACTTCATAGTACTTTAAACAACTTGGCATTTTGTGGGACGAAAATGTGCATGTGTAAAACAAAGTCAGTGCTGAAAAAGAAAGTTAATTTTTGACATGTTCCATTTCTCTCTCTGCTATTGTTTAATTGCTATTTATTCAAATTGAAGAATAATTTTTTCTCAGGACTCATTTAGCACATGTTGTACCCTTTATATGCTGTAATGCTCAGAATTGCCTTTTGAACACTGAATGAAGCCTAACCATTTTTTATTGTTTTCATCTCAGTCCATTAAACTCCTAACATGGATAAAGTCTAAGGCTGTGATATGAATGGAATAAATATTTCTGAGCTGTTGGGTTCAATGAATGCCAAGGCATTTATTCTAAATAAATGATGAGCCCAGTTAGACATTTGTAATGTTTACAAAGCTTTAGAAAAGAATACCACCTACATCAAAAAATCAGTTACCATTTTGTAATTGAAAAATGAGTAGTCACATTCAAAAAACAATGTTAATATTGCTATCTCTCGATAAAGAAATGTTTTAAATTGAATTATATTTCTACTTTTAAATTGATTTCCAATCGTTTAAAAGTACCACATCAATTTTGAAGGGTAACCTCTTGAGCTTCCTCAGAGACTACACAAATTGGCTATTCTTTAAAGCTGGTTGAAAATTTTCCATTGAAATGTCGATACTAAAATCGTCTGAATTTTTTGTGTGAAAACAACAAAATTCATTTTGGGTAAAAAATATTCATTTGTTGGCAAAATTAATTTTTTTAATAAAAATTATTTCATTTCAGTGGGGGAAACACTTTCCATTTTTTTCAGTTGAAAAAAGTGAAAACTTTTGTTTTCAGTATTGTCGTGGCAAAAACAAAACATTTCACAGAAAATCTTTAACTCAAAATTCCATTTCATTCAAGAAAAATTTCCATGAAATAAACATACCTTTGATCATTTCTATTGCTCATCCAGCCATCATGCATCTATTATAAAATACTCCTTTGTCTTAAAAAGTGGGGAGAGGCAGAAATTCAATTTATGTTAATACTTTTTTTATTCTGCTACAAAGTGGAGGCATTTCAGGATAAATTTAAAAAAAATATATAAATGGAAGGGACTTAGGAAGAGAAGTAGAGAAAGTGTGCTCGGAAACCCATGGATGCTCCTCTGCATGATCTTCTTGAGTCCAGTGAAACTTTGGGGACAGTGAAGGAGGAAAGACGTGGAGCAACAGATCAGCTGAATTTCCACGTGAAAAGGAATAAATGGGAGTTAATCCTGCTGCACCACCAAAGTGTGCCCTCTGGAGACATGTGGTGAGAGGGAAGGTAGTCAGTATCTGAGTGCAACTGGGACTATCAATCTAGGTACAGTAAGTACTTTTATGGCCCAATTGCCATAGTATCTGAGCACGTCACAATCTTTAATGTGTTTATCCTCACAACATAGAATTATAGGACTGGAAGGGACCTTGAGAGGTCATCTAGTCCAGTCCCCTGCACTCATGGCAGGACTAAGTAACATCCCATGAGGGAGATGAGTGCTTTGGGGAACTGAGGCACAAAGACTCAGGACTTGTTGACATGGGGACACTCAGGAAAGTTAATCCGTTTAACTAAATGTGTAAATTTAAAGCACATTAATTATACTGAATGAAATCCCTGTGTAGAGACTAATTCAGAGTTAAAATGGTTTTAATTTGTTTTAGCTTAATTCAAGTTAAACCACTTTAGTTCTGAGATTGTCTGCACTGGGGTTTAATGCAGTTTTTAAACAAATGTGCTTTAAGTTCACACCTTTAATTGCTTCAGATTAATTTTCCTGTGTGTCCCCATGTAGACAAGCCCTCAGTGACTGCCCAAGGTCACACAGGAAATCTGTGCCAGAAGAGAATTAAAACCAGGTCTCCAGAGTCCCAGGCTAATGCTCTAACCACTAGACCATCCTTCCTCTCTTTCCAACAGCACCCAAGATCACCTGGGGTGATATTTTGGCTCCATCAAAGTCAATGGGAGTTTTGCCATTGACTTCAGAGGGCCAACATTTTACTCCTTGCCTCTTTTGTGCTCCCCCATACACATCATACTTGAGGAAATGATAATTTAGAATATCTGAAAGACCAAATTTTTAATGCTCTGGTTCATCCTGTGGGTTTCTCCAGGGCAGGGGGACAATCTAGCCAATGGTGCTCTATAATGAATTACTATGAAATTAATCATTTGTAACTGCATGAATACCATATGAATTCATCATATTTAGTGTCATCACAGTGATTCCAATGGAAGTGATAATGATTTCCAACTTATTCTAAAGGACTGCTATTTCTGCTGACAAAAAAATATCTAAAAATATTTGAGAGAGTCTTCATTTCTTTAGTGTGTATAAAGATATGTTTGGAAGAAACACCAATTTCCCTCACTGCTGTTTTTGACACAGTAATAATTCTTCATAAACAATGAAAAAATTATCTGCAATTGTGAAGAAGTGCTGAGAAATACGCAAATGTGACTGCAGTCATAGCTGTTGCAATATTAATTGGTTACATTATCCTGACTATACATTCTTCAGAACAGGGATCATAATTCACACATTGTGAAAATTAAACTTCCTGAAAACAAAGATGCAGATGAATTTTATGTAAAATGTAAAGTTTTTCCAGAGGAAATAAGTATACTTACAGCATCTAAATATTAGATAGTGTACTATAAAAACAGTGGTCAGAAAACCAGATAGTCCTACAGCAACATTTAGGTTTTTGCTGAGATGGAAAACAATTTCAACATTTTATTACCTTTTCTTTGTTACCAAATCAATTTGATTGTTATATCTGCAGTACAGAAAATAATTTTTAAAAATGTGTCCGTTGATTGATCATTAATCAGTTTTTAACAGTATGCCAATTTGATTATTTCTTTTCATTTACTCCTCTGTTTGTTATACCCAAAAATGCCATGCTGACAAACGTATCAGGACATCAGCAGCTCACCACTAGCATAATATGACCATCATTTTTATTATTCTAAAATTAAAAACAAACTATTCAGGATTTTACCTTCTCAGTTTTCATTTTTTCTTTTCCCCTCTTTACTCTTCCTAAAGTCCTTTTCGTCCTCTCATGTAATGATGTGTTTGTTGCTTTCATCTACACTCTGCATACAGTATCTACACTTGCTTTCTGATGTAGCTGTGTCTTATGCTCAACCACATTACTAAATAATGCATTGAGATGAATCTACAGTTTCTCAGCCAATCCTTAACTGGAGCACAAACTCTCTCTCTTCTATAGTAACTATCGTATCATCAGATAAGTCCAAGTCACTGGCATAAGTTACCCTTCAGTAGTTGTCTTCTCATGGAGACTAGCTCATTTTAAGTAAATTGGAAACCCAAACACAAACTACGGAATTGAAACATTTTCTTATATGTTTAACATATAAAAATACAAGAATGATACTTCACAGACTACCAGGAATAGTAAGACTAAAAAAGGAGGGAGAGAAATTGTATAACTCTGGAAGAAAAGGAAGTGCATGGCAGAAATGGCCCCATAAAGTATGTTACAATATCTGGGTGCCTGATCTTGCTCCTACTTAAGTAAATGAGACTTTTGCTACTAAATTTCAATGAGAGCAAAATCTGGCTGTAACACACCAAAGGGCTATTTCTGCCATGCACTGTACTTTTATATTTTGAACATAGAAGCAAATGTCTCATTTCCATAGTTTGCTTTTGAGATTCTACTGTATCTTGCCTCGCAGTTTCTCACTTCAAACACACCCAGTTCTTATTTTTAAGAAGTGTACCGGAGTAATCTCCAGTACTTGTCCAAATCCTACTGCTTCTAGTAGTGACCCTGCAGTGGTTTGGGTTATCAGTGGAGCATGCAGTCACATATTTTTATACATAAGGAGAAGTCTTTTTAAAATGTAACTCACCTTCTTTTAGGTGGTTTCCCTTATTCAGCTCTCTCAGTGATTTAGTTAAACAATGAAGTCTTGAAGCAGGACGTGCTTTGAAAGAGATCAACATAAATTTGGTCCATACTCTCTCCTAAAATACCTTTTGTGAAAGCTTTCCTATAGGAAGGTTGTCTTTGCCTCTAGTTTTCTCCTTTAGGGAAGCTCTCAGCCTTGTATATTGAATGAATGGGGAACTAATGAAACACCTGAACTTGGCTGCTGTCCAGATGAATCCATCAATAGAGTAACTCTGCACCTCGACACAGAAGCTAGGACAGTGTGTTGCAGGCTCAAAAAAACTCTTCTCCCTGAACACCTTGTGAAAGCACACTTTAAATAAATCTGGAATTGGCAGAAAAACTAACAGGGAAGAACTCTTCACATTCATTCCCTGAGTTAAATGTCAAAGTACTGTTATGAGCTGGGTTAAATCTTGGAAAGCTTTGAGTTAAAACCTCATTGAAATGGGTGTGTGAGCGCACCCTTCACTTACGATAGTTGTAAGAGACAGTTAAGGGGCCGTATCTAAAACAAGGCATAATAGAATCTGTCCAGATTGGAAACTAGCGGGGGGGGGGAGAGGGGGTGCAAGGTCCCACTGCTTATTGTTCTGACTGGGTGAGTGTGTCTCTTTCTGTGAAAAAAATCTAGTTGTGGGGCCAGAGAAGAAAGTGGGTGAGACTCCAAGGAGGTCTAGAAAGCCAAACTACTATAAGCACAGTGTGACCCCTGAAAAAAGCTAGAGAGTTTTTTGGGTGCTGGCTAAAGGAGCTTGGAGCTTTAAACAAAGAAGCTATCCCCGGTATTTGGTTCTTCCCGCATTGAGAGAAGCAGAACTTTGTACATTCCTTATAAAGAAAACAACATTGCATCAAAGAAAATTCCAGTCTTCATCAGCAATTTCTGCTCCCAACTGGGACATCTCCAGGGCTCTGAATTTTGACTAGCTGCTCGGGTCAAAAAAGGGGCAACAGTACTTTGCAAACTAGCCTCATGATTCATTACTGGCTGGTCAGGAAAAACACACAACATAACTAACTGTAAAAGGCCTTTGTGAGCTTGTCAAGAGAGAGATGAAACCTCAAAAAAAATCAGCTTTCCTAGCACATCCACATGTAACGTTTATAGGGACGTCTTCCCTCCCATTGAATTCTGAAGGCATGACAATTGAATTAAAATACACTAGTACCAAGTATCTATATTTAATTTTCCCCCTCTTGGCATTATCCCTTTGGAATATGCTGTATTTCAAACATATTTTAGGATAGTATTACCAACTGTGATGCATTTATTTTAATAATTTAAGAATTAATTTCCTATTTTTATTAAATAATAATACCTAGCTCTTCTGGTCAAGAACTAATCATGTCAAATTAACCTAATATCTTTCTTTGACAGGGTACAAAGCTTTGTGGATGTGGGGTGGAGCAAGGAGCTGATGTGCTCTCTCTTGACTTTGGGTTTTTCATACTGTCTCACATAACTTCCTAAACAAATAGGGAAATATAGCCTAGACAAAACTACTATAAGGTGAGTGCACAAATGGCTAGAAACCTGTACTCAGAGAGTAGTTATCAATGGTTCACAGCCAAGCCAGAAGGGCATATCGAGTGGAGTCATGCAGGGATGTGTCCTGGCTCTGGTTCTATTCAATATCTTCATAAATGATTTAGATAATGACATAGAGAGTGCACTGATACAGTTTGCAGATGATACTAAGCTGGGAGGGGTTGCGAGTGCTTTGGAGGATACGATTAGCATTCAAAATGATCTAGAAGGAAGGAATAATCAATTGCACAAATACAAAATGGGAAATGACTGCCTAGGAAGAAAGAGTACTGCGGAAAAGGATCTGGGGGTTATAGTGGATCACTAACTAAATATGAGTCAACAATGGAATACTGTTGCAAAAAACATTATCCTGGGATGTATTAGCAAGAGTGTTGTAAGCAAGACCCAAGAAGTAATTCTTCCATTCTACTCAGCACTGATAAGGCCTCAGCTGGATTACTATGTCCAGTTCTGGGCATCACACTTTGGGAAAGATGTGGACAAACTGGAGAAAGTCCAGAGGAGAGCAACAACAATGATTAAAGGTCTAGAAAACGTGACCTATGAGGAAAGATTGAACAAACTGGGTTTGTTTAGGTTGGAGAAGAGAAGACTGAGAGGGACATGATAACGGTCTTCAAGTTTGTAAAAGGTTGTTCCAAAGAGGATGGTGATAAATTGTTCTCCTGAGCCACTGAGGACAGGATAAGAAGTAATGGGCTAAAATTGCAGTAAGGGAGATTTAGGTTAGACATTAGGAAAAACTTCTTAAGTGTCAGGATAGTTAAGCACTGGAACAAATTATCATGGGAAGCTGGGGAATCTCTGTCATTGGAGGTTTTTAAGAACAGGTTAGAGAATCACCTGACAGGGATGTTCTAGATAATACTTAGTACTGCCTCAGTGCCGTGGACTGGATTAGATGACCTATCAAGGTCCCTTTGAATCCTATATTTCTATGATTCTATAGTGCTTTTCATCTCATACAGTACATCTCATAGTGCTTTACAAATGAATCTAGAATTCAGATGGCAGGAAAACATGACATACGGGGCTTACCTAGCAGAGAACGCAGAACAGGGAATTAGCACCCAGACATCCTGATCAGGCATGGCACATCTTGTGCTACATGCTGTACATGCATAGGAAGAAATGGTACCATGTTACAACTACTAGCTTCAGGTCTGCTCCAGATAGTACCAACAATGTAGGAAAGCTTTAGGTGCTTTTAGGCATATTAAGCAAGTTCAGCCTGTATACTTTATGGTGTCAGGAAGAAATTCAGTAACAGCACGAGATTTTCAAACTTGCGTCCCTGAAGTAAGGTCAAATTTTCATAGATACTGAGCACTTGCACTCCCCCAACTTCAGTCCAAGTTTTCATGTCATGAAAATCATGTCAGTCAAGATGCCTATATACGGTTATAGGTGCCTGATTTTAGACACCCCAGTTTGAATATTTTAGCCATACTGCCTAATTTTATACAATTGGCAGCTTACAAGACAACATTGTAACAATTTATTAGAGATTTGGAGCAGAAAGAACAGAGGCTGTAGAAAAACAGGGGTTTATGCCACCTTTGCTGACCCTGGATCCTGGTGCCAATTTGTGCTGGCTGTACCCCAGATACGACTTGAGGAAACCTTTGGTTTGCTCTAAATTATGCTGACTGCCCACAGCTTCCAAGGGGATATTCCAGCAATGGTGAACCGCTGAAGCATAGCAATGTATGCCTATCCACACCCTCTGCACCACAGCTACAAAAGGGGAGATGTAGGAACTACTATGGCTGCTCAGTGTCACTCAGGGACTCCCTAATTTTGGGGAATTCTGGAAGGGGTTGATTAAAGGCATTTTTAATGGCTGCTTTGCACAGCCAAAGCAGGCTAAAGGGTCCATAGACAGATTCTCTTGATAAGGTTTTTTCTGTTTTGCTTGAAACACATGAAAAAATTGCCCACACAGGAGTGAGCCTGCAGACAGTGCAAAGGACACGGGAATATCTACTACCCACCGTGCGCCATGTTGTTATCAATACAGTGTGCTGCACTCCACCAAAAGAGTTATTTCAATTGCACTGCACTGGTATATCAGTGTAACTTCTGTTCATGGACAAGGCCTGAGGCTCTGAATAACAGAGCTGATGCCTAGAAAGAGAACTATACACTTAAAGAACAGAAATGACTTTGTTCTGGCAGCTGTTAAAATCTGCTCCCAATCATTAAGATCCAATAAAATTGTTAATCCTTTTTTGATTTTTCTTTTTTCTCACCGTATCAGCTTTTGGCTTATCTGTTGTGCTTCTCCATTTATTCTGTATTTTAAAACCCATATTAAATATTTGGGATAAAATGAGAGGAAATCAGCTCCACTATTGCTGGGAAAATCTGGTGCAGCCGGGACTCACTCAACAAAGGGATATTCTGGACCACTGCCCAGTTCTTCTCCCCTTCCAATCTTCTTTCTGTTTCTTTACATTTCCCAAGCAGGCAGTTAGTACTCAACTCTACCCCTGTCCATCTTTGTCCTACATTTTGGCTTCAAGTCTTTCCAGACATTGCTGCACACTGCTAGTCTTCATCTCTGTGTTGGGAAGACTTCCTGATGATTGCTGGACCTTTTTTTTGGTACCAAAGCAAGTGTGAAGATGCGACCTAATGCCTTTAAGATGTAACCCGCCCACCCTGCTCCTTGGAGAAGCTGTCTTTCTTGGAGCATTTAGTGAAGTCATCTGGGGTGAGTTATGAAGTATCTGCTGCATCAAATGAGAAGGCTTCACTCACAGTTTAAAGAAATCACTGTTATTTTTCTTACAGTTTGGCATTCTGAATATTGGATCACAGATTTATGGTTATGAGAGAAGAGGCTAATTTGAAAAAGGGAGAAGAGAATAAAATAAAATAATAATAATAAAAAGCAAGAGATGGTAGAATCCTGCCCATTTCCCCACTAGTTAGGCTCTGTCCCCTCAAGCTGTTTCTTTGCTAGGCTTGTGCATTTCAGACTTATAATACAACACATTACCTAGAAGAAAAGCAGTTTCTTCATATAACTCCCCTGAAACAGGAATTTCACTTTTGGGAGAGTGAAGTACACTTACTGTAAAAGGAAACATCTGAAATTATGTGAATGATGATGCAGAAGGGAGTGTGAAAGGCCAACGAGAGCGGGCACTGGCTTAAGTGACCACTTTATAACTATTTACTCTTTAAAAATAAAAATAATGAAAAGAATAGAGAGGGAGGGAAGGAACAATCCAGCCATCAAGCTGAAGAGGCCACGGGTCTTCAGAATATGGCTTGCGTACAGAACAGTGGACCAACTGACTGCTCTCTGAGCATGAGACTGTGGAGTAGGCAATCCAACCAACACCCTCCATCTTCCTCTCCTCAAGAGAGCACCGCAACTCTGGTAGAGGAAAGTTGGACCTGTTAGGGGTCAGGGGTTGAGTGGGAACAGATAAGCACCCAGACCTGATCTGAATCTGCACCTGCAGCTAGTTAATGAATCTCATCTCTTTACACTTTCTGCAGAAAAAGTACACATCATATTCAGGGGACTATTTCTCTTCTTTCAATAGTGGTGAATGAATATCACTGTGATAAGAGCTGTGCTAAATAATGGTATAAGCTCTGACTACAGTGGTACCAGTAATGGGTTCTGCCTATCGGGGCACTGCTACCTCAGTAGCCATGTGGAGACCGAGGCAGCCTAGTCTGAGACCATTTGAGACACTAAAATGGCACCCCCGTGCAATATGGAGATCTGCTCCAAGGCAGGACTCTGGGGGTTGGTGAGAAATGAGGCTTGGGCAGAGCCAAAAGATCCACCGCTATATTCATCCTGTGTACTGTCACCCTCAGCACAGAGGGAGCACTGAGGCTGAGGGGGCCACTTCAGCTCCACGGCTGCATTCATGGCTGCAGCGGGCAGCAGCGCCTGGTATATTAAGACCTTAAAGCACACATCTCACATGCGTATTAAAAAATATAACATGACTCCAAAAAACATGGATAAACAACATTGTTTCTGCTAGTTATAAATGAAGAACCTGATTCACAGACATGGAGCCAAGCCTAACATTAATTAGCACATCATATGATAAATTAACAGTCACAAAAAAGCAATACATTGTGAAATATTTAACTGCATGTTAGGAACACTAATGAAAGGAATTACATTGCCACAAATATACTATTAAATCAGTTATGGGAACTGGTGGTATAAACCAAGACATAGCAACTGTTGATGAGCAGATGGTACAGAAAATTTCCATAGTAGAACAGGAAAAGTAGATTATACATTGAGAATGTAAACATAACATACCCATAAATATGTTGTACATACACACATAGTAACTCACACAATTACTTTCAGTAATCTTGTGTCAATTTATATATGGTACAATTAGAATTACATTACTTACACTGGGTATATAAGCAAGGGATGAGTATTGAGACATCTCTAATACTTCCAGCTGGCAAGAAGAGCCAATATTCATTTGAAATCTAGTTGTAACAATAGGGTGGAGGCCACTTTCATTAAGTCTGATCTCCCCATCATGAGACACATTGGGACTCCTTGTTTAAACTACCAGACTTTAGACACTGTGGACTGTAAAAAAAAATGCAATCATTGTTTTTAAGAGCTTATCAATTTACTCTCTAACCAGCTAAAGAGGAGAGCTAGGTAAAGAACTCCATTGCTGCCTTGTAGAAAATATTCTCTGCTCCTTTTTCATGCAGCACAGGTTCATTTAAATCTAGCCACACAATCTGTCTGAATGACCTCTTGCAACGGTGCATATCACAGGCTTACTATATGGGGGGGGATATTTCCCTTTTGCTTTCAAATTTACTGCCCTTTAATTTAGACAAGCATCCCTATGTACTTGTATTATGCAGCAGGGTGAAAAGAACAGATTGATCTGTTTATACTATACCCATCAAAATCAATCAAGTCCTCACTAAATCTTCTCCTTTCCAGAGTAAATAATTCTGGGGGTTTTTTAAAACATTTTCTCATTAAACCCAAGTCCCATCGTACCTCTAACTTTGCTACCCTTTTCTATACTTTTTCAGTCTCATATGCACTGTTTCTTTCTTGAGACAAGTAACAAAATTAGACCCAGCATTTTAGATTACATTATTAATAAATACAGACACTGTACATAAGGCACACCGTTGCTATAGGGTACATCATTTCAATATTTTCTCGTATCAGACTTTGCTCAGATGACACAAAAAGGTATTGGGATACCACTGCACAGGAACCTGAAGAGAAAATACTTGCAACTTTAAGGAAAGTCAACCAGTACATCAGCAGCAGCCTGGACAATACTGCCTCCCATAAACACTAATCAGTCTATGGTCCTCCCAGAACTCTGTGTGGGTTACACAAATCCCAAAGGCCACTGGATAAACATGCAAATAAGACTTACACTGAAGATACTTATGCTGCAGATCTTCCACAGCATTATACAAAAATACTTATTCTGCCAGGTCTGCTACATAATTTATACATTTACAGTCTTTCCAGAGGGGAACTATCTCTGCATAAGATGAATGAGTTAGGCACTTTTAGAAGGAAAGGGAAATAGGAACATCATCTGAATGACCTCTTTTACGTATTCTTGGAACTGCTTTTGCCCATCACTTCTCACCTGTGCTTCCTGGCTAGATAATGTTGTTTATATCTTGTAGGTGTGGAATGACTGCTTCTGTCTGCTGATTCTCCTGAGATTCCAATGACCTTCCAGGATCATCCTGATCATCCTTTGCATCCAAAAGATGGTCTCTGTCAGCAGAAACTTTCATCTGATGTAGAAGGTCCTGCACAACAAAACAATGGGTAATTGACTATGTTTCACTGACAGGTTTCATTCATATACATTGTCAAGGTTCCTTCCCCACTCTGAACTCTAGGGTACAGATGTAGGGACCTGCATGAAAGACCCCCTAAGCTTATTCTTACCAGCATAGGTTAAAAACTTCCTTAAGGTACAAACTTTGCCTTGTCCTTGAACCCTATGCTGCCACCACCAAGCGTGTTAAACAAAGAACAGGGAAAGAGCCCACTTGGAGATGTCTTCCCCCCAAAATATCCCCCCAAGCCCTACACCCCCTTTCCTGGGAAAGGCTTGATAAAAATCCTCACCAATTTGCATAGGTGAACACAGACCCAAACTCTTAGATCTTAAGAACAATGAAAAAGCAATCAGGTTCTTAAAAGAAGAATTTTAATTAAAGAAAAAGTAAAAGAATCACCTCTGTAAAATCAGGATGGTAAATACCTTACAGGGTAATCAGATTCAAAACATAGAGAATCCCTCTAGGCAAAACCTTAAATTACAAAAAGACACAAAAGCAGGAATATACATTCCATTCAGCACAACCTATTTTACCAGACATTTAACAAAAGGAAATCTAATGCATTTCTAGCTAGATTACTTACTAACTTAACAGAAGTTCTGAGGAGTTATGAAGAGCATTCCTGATCTGTTCCTGGCAAAAGCATCACACAGACAGGCAGACCCTTTGTTTCCCCCCCCCCACCTCCAGCTTTGAAGTATCTTGTCTCCTCATTGGTCAAGCACGGTTAGCTTCTTAACCCTTTACAGGTGAAAGGGTTTTTTCCTCTGGCCAGGAGGGATTTTATAGTTCTGTATACAGAAAGGTGATTACCCTTCCCTTTATATTTATGACATACATAATATGAAGAAGGAACTGTTTGCACTGTATTTGCAAATACCATTAGACATTCAGTTTCCCCTAAAACAGAGTAAGGATATGTCCACAACTCAACTCAGGGGACCTGGAATTCAGATACTTTGCAGTTTATTAAAGACCATGGTTTCTTTAATAGGGATGTGTTCTAATCTTTGGGTAGTGGGTCAACCATGGATCAATAACCAACGGACAATTAATATGAATCCCAGACATCAATTATGGTAGAAAGAGCAGGTGAAAGATCAAGGCCACGATTTGAGAGGATGGTAGGTAGCAGCTTGTGCAGTGGGAGGGAGCTGGGCCAAAGAACTTGAGAAAGATGAGTCAATGAGTCAAAGAGTATTGAGATCTAGACAAGAGAAACATCTAGGTTATTACATGCACTGGCATGAAGAGTGGTGTGAAGTGCAGAAGATGGATCAGTTAGATTTTTCTTCTTCTGATTTTGATGTTGTTCAGCATGTAGTCAAATTTCTATTTTCAATATATGGTTTAGTCTTTACGTTTAAAAAGACTGGATGGTAAGTCAGATGGTGCTCTGTACTCAGACTGGAGCTAATTGCACAAGAAGAGCTGTCATTGATTGAAATTGCCTTTTGGCAGGGCAGGGACGTATGTTTAAGGGGAAAGAGGGAGCAGTCATCGGGGAAGTATGTGCAGAGAAAGAGGAGGAACTGGCAGCAACTGACAAAGCTGCATGTGCTGGGGAGCAAGGGAGAGACACAAAGAACATATATGGATGTGAGAAGAGATTAAATGAACAGCAAAAATACATGGATTTTTCCCATTAAAGACTTTTTACAATAAACGTAATAATTTCGTAACCATACCTTTCCATATAAGCAATGGATGTTGCGCAACTGTGATGGGAGAGAAGATAACTCGTGAATGGGATGGGAAGAGAGCTGGTCCTTGCTAAATTGTCCTTGCATAGGAAAAGAAAGGTCCACAAGGCACTTTCACTGGTAAAATGTGAATCATGCTACTAAAAAAGTTGCAGATCCCTGCTCTGAGGCATAGCAGAGTCCTAGATATTCACAGGATTTTACTCTCTTCATAGACATGACCAAAAAGAAAGGCAACAAAGGAGCCAGCAATAGCATATCCAACTGAAGCAGGAGCAGCAGAGAGAATTTTAGCGATCAGAGTCATAGATAGCAGTAGGATAACTACTTAGGGCCAAATTCATTTCTTTTTTAATTCCATTGACTTCAGCTGAGTTACAGCAGGGATGAATTTGGTCTCTACAGTCTCTCTTGTGGGGCAAGGCCAGTATTCAGAGGGCATATTCTGGCCTTACTGTGGCAAAGGAATTTACTAGGAAGAAAGAGGACTGATTTCTCTTGAGAATGTTTATTTGCATCTTGCTTTGAAAATAACTTACCTTGTGATCACAAATGCAATCAATAGCAAGATGCACCCTGACTGAAGCCGTCCCTCCATATTATTCAATGCACACATCTTACACTTCAAAAGAAGTTGTTGATTTAATGTGGAACCGATGACCTTTATTCTATCATTTCCTAACTTTAGAATGCTTGATTATGCAACTTTAATAATCTTCTTTTAACATAGTATTTATGCATATGATATATATGAAATTCCTATTACAGTCTTTGAGAATCTGCGAAACAAAATGGTTTTAAATGGCTGACATGTTTAACTATTGTGCATCCACAATCGACTTACGTCCATCCATTCTCTCACGCTCTCATCCGACACACCCTACTAGCCACAATATCTGGAATCAACAAACTACATCTCAAGCAGACAGACCTTAAGTATTGGGCAATGATGGGATGGACCAGCACCACATTTTGGGACTCTGGCTATGTTAAGAAACCTATGTTGTCAACTCAGCTCAGAACTGAAGTACCCAAGTAACTAAAAACTGAAGTACACAAGGATTTGGGTTTGTACCTAGGGGTAGAAATGACCTTAGGGTGGACATGCAAGGAGAGAAAGTCAGCAGGCAAATGTTAGTTTTTCAGTAAAAAGACTATTACAAAACATAATAGGGTTAAAAACAAAACATGTAAATTAATATCAGTCATCCATATAGATAGTCAATGACTTAAAATACTCAAAATAACATACAAAATGAGAAAGTAAACAAGTGCTAATGTTCATTTGAAGACAAAAGTCATAATAAATACACTTTTAAAAGAGAAAACTAAGTAAACATAACAGACACAAAGCTATAACGTAGATTACGACTTTGATTAATAAACTTAAAATACAGCACATCTGCAGCATTGGGGCCATTCATTGCCCTGATCACTTTGGCCTCAAACCTGAAATCAGATCCACACAGGCAAACTCTATTGCAGGACTAGGCTCTTGCATTTATGTTCAATCCGTTTCACTCAGCCTCTCCTCCTATTTTTTGGAGCAGGGATTGTCTTCCTACTTTATTTTTTTTACAGCTCCTAGCATAATGTGTCCGTGATCCTGAGAAGGACCTTTCAGTGCTACTACAATATATCTAGCGCAGAGATCAGCAACCTTTGGCACGTGGCCCATCAGGGAAATCCGCTGGCGGGCCAGGAAGGTTTGTTTACCTGCAGCGTCCGCAGGTTCAGCTGATCGCAGCTCCCACTGGCCGTGGTTCACCGTTCCGGGCCAATGGGGGCTGCGGGAAGCAGTAGCCAGCATATCTCTCAGCCCGTGCCACTTTCTGCAGTCCCCATTGGCCTGGAATGGCAAACTGTGTCTAGTGGGAGTGGCGATCGGCTGAACCTGCAGATGCCGCAGCTAAACAAACCGTCCCAGCCTGCCAGCGGATTTCTCTGATGGGCTGTGTGCCAAAGGTTGCTGATCCCTGATCTAGAGAGATAAATAAACACAATTAAAGCCTACTATTAAGACTTTAATATGTGAAATTCTAATGGTATAATTTCATTGTCATATAATCATAGAATATTAGGACTGGAAGGGACCTCAAGAGGTCATCTAGTCCAGTCCCTTGCACTCAAGGCAGGGCTAAGTATTATCTAGACCATTCCTGACAGGTGTTTGTCTAACCTGCTCTTCAAAATCTCCAATGATGGAGATTCCACAACCTCCCTAGGCAATTTATTCCAGTGCTTAACTATCCTGACAGTTAGGAAGTTTTTCCTAATGTCCAACCTAAACAACTCTTGCTGCAATTTAAACCCATTACTTCTTGTCCTATCCTCAAAGGTTAAAAAGAACATTTTTTCTCCCTCCTGTTTGTAACAACCTTTTATGTACTTGAAAACTGTTATCATGTCCCGCCTCAGACTTCTCTTCTCCAGGCTAAGCAAACCCTTTTTTTTTTTCACGTTTTTGTCTTCTAGGTGTTTGCCAATTGATTGCTTAATTATTTGCTCTATGATCTTTCCTGGTACTGAAGTTAAGGTGTCTGGTCTATAATTTCACAGGTTATTCTTATTCCTCTTTCTATAGATTGGAACTATATTTGCCCTTTTCTAGTCCTCTGGAATCTCTCCCGTCTTCCATTACTTTTAGAAGATAATCGCTAATTGCTCAGATATCTCCTCAGTCAGCTCCTTGAGTAATCTAGGATGTATTTCATCAGGCCCAGGTGACTTGAAGCTATCAAACTTGTCTAAGTAATTTTTAACTTGTTCTTTCCCTATTTTAGCCTTCTGATCCTACCTCATTTTCACGGGTATTCATTAAGTTAGAGGTCCAATTGTTACTAAAGTTTTTGGTGAAAACTGAAACAAAAAAGTCAGTTAGCACTTCTGCCATTTCCACATTTTCTGTTATTGTTTTTATCGCTAATCTTTCTAGTCTGACTGATTATGCCATTAAAATACCATTACTATGCTTGATAAAAAAACAAAACAAAACAAAAAAACAACTAAATCCTAGAAAAAAACCCATCACTGTGTCATTGCAGTGGCAGAAAGATTCTAGCATACATGTAATGGGATCTTGAATATGCATAAAAGACCTCCTGATGATGTATTATAATGCGAGATTACAATGGCTAAACAAATTCAATGGAAATTTGTGAAGACTACATTTTGTCACTGAAATTAAACAAGACTGCTGAACAGAATTTCTGCTACTGTTAACCTATTTTCTCTTCATTTTGCTATCATATAGTTTTT